TTTTGATATTTTCACGATACTTAGAATTTGCGTACGCGTTTATTTATTCTAAGGTGTTAATATCGCCTTGACAGATCAAATCTTACACGAGAAGACCAAAACATGTAAGTAGTAGTTCGGAGATTATAAAACTTAGTTTATAATATCCTGCATCTACTATCGTCTCAAATAGGTCCAAGTAAATGAGTCATACCAAATACTCAGGCTATTGGAGCCATCAGAGCAAATTTGAACACTTTGGAAATATTAAAAGGAACTTGTATTAAATTATTTTAAATACAAATAAAAACCAATGTGTTATCTCATTTGATCTTGGTATTTTAGACTGACAGGATGCCGTATTTCTACATTTATCATCTTCCTTCGGATCTTCGATTAGCTTCATGATTACTGTACAAAGATAGTCATCACGCCCGATCATTTCATACACACCAGACCACCAGACACCGCCATTTCCTATAGCTCTAGTCAGATTGTCGTATAATAACATCTCCTGAGCTTGCACGAGTTTATTGGCCCCTACCGTACTTTTATTAAAGTACGCAGCTCGCTGGCCATTTAATTCTATCATGTTTGATATTTTTTTGCAGTCAAATTTCGTTGCCACAATATTTTGCATCGCCTCCTCGTTTTATGCACCTACAAGAGCTTCCAATATATTGAGCTGTTTCTTGATTTTGTGCTTATGCAAACCTTTCTGCTTATCATTAAACACAACACGCTTCTTATCCGTCACAGTAATCAAGGTAAACCTACATGCCTTCTTCATTACGAAGGTAATACTATGAGCACGACAACCCATAGTGTATGAGCACGACAACCCATAGTGATATGTGCTGTGAGCTTCATTGCTGCTTGAAAATTTGCAGCATCATCAGGCGTTGCACTATGAATCACCTGTTTGGGATGCAGCCATACAGAATCATTCTCACCTAAGACACCAATTCTAAAATGAGCGTCAGGCATTGTTCTTAGAATCCCCCATTATCTAAGGACTTGCACATGCCATTCTGCAAGGTTTATGGCCGAATGAGAACCTACTACCTCTTCCAATCCTAAGAATGCTGATATTTTGGTAGGTTGTGATCCAACAGGGTCAGGTTCATACCAATGTAAAAAGATACCGAGGTAATTAGTGCCGGTAGAATCCTTCCATAAATCATTCTCTAGACTAGCAAAAGGGAGTTTGTAATATCGTAGAACGTCTCTCTATTTGTTCAATACTACATCTCTAATAGACTTCTCTAATATTGTTAGATACTTTCTAATGGTTTTCGGAGCACCAGGGTTGTACCTGGAGTGTGCAGTGATTGGTACTGCGACTGCAGCAGCCAACCATTCTCTAAAATGGGCCTTCCTCCCTGAGGTGAAAGGAAGATTGTATGAAGTCACACAACGAGCCCAATGTATGTCGGTTGACGCCCCGAAGTCTTGTTTCGCTTTTCTACTATTTTTTTTGCAGGAAATTTGCTCAAGTCATCATACTACTCCTTCTCATGCGTGCCCTCATAGTGGATCAAGGCGTTGCTTGCTTGCCTTTTATTCCATGTGTAAATCTTACCACTACCGCAATAATTACAAGAAGCCAATTTCGCTGGATTCTTTTTGTCCGCCGTGAAGCGTTCAGTTACAAAATCAAGTTTCACTCCTTTTTTTAAACTTCTGTATAACTTTGTGCAATCATAGATGCTGGTTTGAACTCTTTTGGCTCTTTGTTTGCCCTTAATTGCCACCACTTCGATCTCGTCCCCTTCAGAAGCCTCGTCCTCTTCAGGAGCCTCGTCCTCTTCAGGAGCCTTGTCCTCTTCAGGAGCATCGTCCTCCTCAGGAGCCTCGTTCTCTTCAAGAGCTTCGTCCCCTGCCGGAGCCTTGCCCTCTTCGAGATCCTTGTCATTTCCACGATCGCTTTCATTATTAGCTGTCCGAACCGGTGTATCTGCCTCACTACTCGCCATCCTGAATGCATTAACTCATCTCCCAGAGACTCCCACACGGTTAGTTTTATTTGCTATGTGAGTCTTAAGATTTGTTTTCAATAAGAAACTTATGTAAGAAACGCAAAGGCCGGACCCGGTGGGGCGTGAGTCCGCGTGAGCCACGTAGAAAAATATCAGTGGTGAGTGGATAATGACTTCTTAATCAAGAAATGTCTTGTTCTTCATTATACGGGATCATCCCGTTATTCCTTATTCCTTATTTAAGGTATGTTGTTAATTCTTATTTCTTATTAAGAACTGCGGAATTTCTTAATCTTACAAACAAAATTCACAAGTTTAAGTTTCCAAAATTCAATGTGATTTCGACCCATATTTATTAATTTCTGAAATCCGGAATTGTGTCATATTACGTATTTCTTTAAATAATTACGGCTATTTTCGCTCTCCATATTTTTTTTCTCGAAATTATGTGATGTGTGGCCTGATATAGAATTATGTGTGAAGATATTTATAAGATTGGGCTGATATTAAGTCTCAATCCCAGTGGTCTCAAGTCTCAAGTCTCAAGATTCCTGACTCCGAGTCTGCGTTTCTCTCAGAGAAATGTAAGTACACTGTAGTTGTTTTTTTGTTTTGTTTTTTTGTTTTTTGTTTTTTTGTTTTTTTGTCAAACCATAAAAGCACAAAACATTTATATATATATATATATATATACATATTTCTGACTCAAGAGTGCTTTTTAATAAATAAGAGCTAATACGGCCTTTAAGCTTATTGACGCTTTCAGGATATAAAACCCACTGATCAGTGATAAGATAACAGTTTATTGAATGTTGCCTGTTCATCGAAAAATTGACCAGAGTCACCTCTCGAATTCAATAAGAAGGTGGATGATAAAGCCCATCACTCCATCGGAAATGACCGAAATGGTGTTAATATATTTCCCATCGATTTTATTGATGGGCGACAATAGTCTTATTGTAACAAGAAATCCTGCACAATATAAAATAAAGTTGCTTGTGCGGCATGGCAGTCTGCTGTTCATTTTTCAAAAACGCGGTTCGTCTGTTATTTTTTAGAAGGCACGTGTCTAGTCAAAAGATTTAACTCTAGTCAAAGACTCCTTTTGTATTTATTGCATCCATATACAGACCACATTGGCCTTGAAGACTTGAGGAGGTTTAGTAACAAATGGCAAATATATCAGCAGCTAAATTGACATATAATGATGACAACCTGTAAGATAAATAATCCCCCTGAATGAACCATTCATAAACTAGTTAACGGCTAGTAGGCAGCGTCAGTGGCGTGGTCTAATACGATAAGCTTATTATTGTCTGAAGTTGTATCCGCGAAAGATTTTGTACACCAAGATTGATATAATTTGACTGTATACAAATTAAGTATAGTACTCCTCTTATATAGATGAGTATACATATGAAAATAAATCAAATAAAACAACTTAA